ATGGATTAAAGACTTAAACATAAGACCTAAAACCATAATAACTCTAAAAGAAAACCTAGGAAATACCATTCAGGACATAGGCATGGGCAAAGACTTCATGACTAAAACACCAAAAGCAATGGCAACAAAAGCCAAAATTGACAAATGGGATCTAATTAAACTAAAGAGCTTCCGGACAGCAAAAGAAACTATCAGCAGAGTGAACAGGCAATTTACAGAACGGGAGAAAATTTTTGCAATCTATCCATGTGACAAAGAGATAATATCCAGAATCTACACAGAACTTAAACAAATTTACAAGAAAAATACAACCCCATTAAAAAGTGGGTGAAGGATATGAACAGACCCTTTTCAAAAGAAAACATTTATGGGGCCAACAAACATGAAAAAAAGCTCATCACCACTGGTCATTAGAGAAATGCGAATCAAAACCACAGTGAGATACCGTCTCACGCCAGTTAGAATGGTGATCATTAAAAAGTCAGGAAACAATAGATACTGGAGAGGATGTGGAGAAATAAGAATACTTTTACACTGTTGGTGGGAGAGTAAATTAGTTCAACCTTTGTGGAAGATGGTATGGTGATTCCTCAGATCTAGAACCAGAAATACCATTTGACCCAGCAATCCCATTTTGGGTATATATGCAGAGGATTATAAAACATTCTACTATAAAAATCATGTGCACACATACGTTTATTGCAGCACTGTTCACAATAGCAAATAATTTGAACTAACCCAAATGCAGTCAAGGATATCCTGGATCCATCAAGGATAGACTGGATAAAGAAAATGTGGCACATATATACCATGGAATACTCGGAAGCTATAAAAAAAGGATGAGTTCATGTCCTTTGCAGGGACATGGATGAAGCTGGAAGCCATCATTCTCAGCAAACTAACACAGGTACAGAAAACCAAACACTGCATGTTCTCACTCATAAGTGGGAGTTGAACAATGAGAACACATGGACACGGGAAGGGGAACATCAAACACCAGGGCCTGTTGGGGTGCAGGGGGCTAGGGGAGTGAAAGCATTAGGAGAAATACCTAATGTGGATTATGGTTTGATAGGTGTAGCAAAACACCATGGCATGTGTATACCTGTGTAACAAACCTGCATGTTCTACAAATGTATCCCAAAATATAAAGTATAATAAAAAAAATCAATGAACTAGGAGCTGGGTTTTTGAAAAGATTAACAAAATAGACCACTAGCCAGACTAATAAACAAGAAAAGAGAGAAAAATCAAATAGACACAATAAAAAATGATAAAAGGGATATCATCACTGATCCCACAGAAATACTAACTACCATCAGAGGATACTATAAACACCTCTATACAAATAAACTAGAAAATCTAGAAGAAATGCATAAATTCCTGGACACATACACCCTCCCAAGACTAAACCAGGAAGAAATCAAACCCCTGAAAAGACCAGTAACAGGTTCTGAAATTGAGGCAGTAATTAATAGCCTACCAACCAAAAGCACAGGACCAGATGGATTTACAGACGAATTGTACCAGAGGTACACAGAGGAGCTGGTACCATTCGTTCTGAAACTATTCCAAACAATAGAAAAAGAGGGACTCCTCCCAAACTCATTTTATGAGGCCAGCATCATTCTGATACCAAAACCTGGCAGAAACACAACAAAAAAAGAAAATTTCAGGCCAATATCCCTGATGAACATGGATGCAGAAAGCCTCAATAAAATACTGGCCAACTGAATCCAGCAGCACATCAAAAAGCTTATGCCCCACAGTCAAGTTGGCTTCATCTCTAGGATGCAAGGCTAGTTCAACATACACAAATCAATAAATGTAATCCATCACATCAACGAGACCAATGACAAAGACCACATGATTACCTCAATAGATGCAGAAAAATGCCTTTGAAAAAAGTCAACACCCATTAATGCTAAAAACTCTCAATAAACTAGGTACTGATGGAACGTATCTCAAAATAATAAGAGATATTTATGACAAACCTACAGCCCATATCATATTGAATGGGCAAAAACTGGAAGCATTCTCTTTGAAAACTGACTACCTGACTTTAAACTATACCACAAGGCTATAGTAATCAAAACAGCACAGTACTTGTACCAAAACAGATACATAGACCAATGGAACAGAATAGAGGCCTCAGAAATAACACCACACATCTACAACCATGTGATCTTTGACAACCTGACAAAAACAAGCAATGGGGAAAGGATTCCATACTTAATAAATGGTGTTGGGAAATCTGGATAGCCATATGCAGAAAACTGAAACTGGACCCCCTCCTTACACCTTATACAAAAATTTGAATTAAAGACTTAAACATATGACCTAAAACCATAAAAACCCTAGAAGAAAACCTAGGCAATACCATTCAGGACACAGGCATGGGCAAAGACTTTATAACTAAAACACTAAAAGCAATGGAAACAAAAGCCAAAATTGACAAATGGGATCTAATTAAACTAAAGAGCTTCTGCAAAAAAACTATCATGAGAATTAACATACAACCTACAGAATGCATGAACATTTTTGCAATCTGTGTGACAAAGGGCTAATATCGAGAATCTACAAAGAAACTAATTTGCAAGAAAAAAACAAACTACCCCATCAAAAAGTGGGTGAATAATATGTATAGACACTTTTCAAAAGAAGACATTTATGTGGCTAACAAACATATGAAAAAAAGCTTATCATCACTGGTCATTAGAGAAATGTAAATCAAAACCACAATGAATACCATCTCATGCCAGTTAGAATGGTGATCATGAAAAAGTCAGGAAACAACAGATACTGGAGAGGATGTGGAGAAATAGGAACACTTTTACACTGTTGGTGGGAGTGAAAATTAGTTCAACCATTGTGGAAGACAGTGTGGCAATTCCTCGAAGATCTAGAACCAGAAATACCATTTGACCCAGCAGTCCCATTACTGGGTATATACCCAAAGGATTATAAATCATTCTTTTATAAAGACACATGCACATGTATGTTTATTACAGCACTATTCACGATAGCAAAGACTTGAAACCAACCCAAATGCCCATCAGTGATAGACTGGATAAAGAAAATGTGGCACATATACACTGTAGCATATTATGCAGCCATAAAAAAACATGAGTTCATGTCCTTTGCAGGGACATGGATGAAGCTGAAAACATCATTCTCAGGAAACTAACACAGGAACAGAAAACCAAACACCGCATGTTCTCACTTATAAGTGGGAGTTGAACAATGAGAACACATGGACACATGGAGGGGAATATCACACACTGAGGCCTGTTGAGGGGGTTTGGGGCCAAGGGGAGGGATAGCATTAAGAGAAATACCTAATGAAGATGATGGGTTGATGGGTGCAGCAAACCACCACCACACATGTGTACCTATGTAACAAACCTGCATGTTCTGCACTTGTATCCCAGAACTTAAAGTATAAAAAAAATTAGCAAGTATTTGGATTCCATAATAGGTAAAAACTACAGTAGGTACTGTAGATAAAAAGATGAATATATCACAATCTTAGAAATTATTGTCTCTTTGAGAGAGATAATGAGTATAATCTAAGAATTTAATTGACATTTAAAAGCAATGTTGTGGAATAATTCATGATTAATTGTGATAGACATTATACTCATTTAAGTCAGAAGACAGAGTCATTGATTGGGATGCTGTCTACTATAACTTGATTCACTTGTCAGAGTTTCTGTAAAGCTGAAATACCTTATGCCAAACAGAGAAAATATACATTTACAGAGATAATGGTAAAAATACTTATTGTATGTATTTTTATCTAATTCATGTTATAATACCAGGCTGTATTTAAAATAAACAATATGTGACGGCTCCATTGGCTGTTTTTATATAATTTGGTATTTCTTAGCTAATTGTTCAAATCAACGGGACTCCTTTGTAGTGCTCTGTGACCTGCGGCTCTGGAGTTCAGCAGAGGGATATATACTGCAGACTGAAAGGTGTTGGTCGAGTGGTTGAAGAAATGTGTGATCAGTCCACCCGACCTTGTTCTCAGAGGCGATGTTGGAGTCAGGACTGTGTGCACCACAAGGGGATGGAAAGAGAGAGGCTGAATGTGAGTATCGACAAGTAAATTTTCAAAGACACTGCATGTAAGAATGTGTTATTCATTTGGTTATTGCATTTCTAGTGTTCAACATCATGTGAGAGAAAAGATTCACATCAACGAACGGAGTGCACAGATAGCCAAATTGGACAAGTGAATGAAATAGTCTATAATTCTTCAACCATACCTCTTACATCCAAGAATTGCAGGAACCCTCCTTGCAATTACATTGTGGTAACAGCAGACTCATCACAGGTAAGGTAAAGACAGGAAGTTGAGAATTTTTGCTCCTTGATAAAGCAGCGGGATCTACAATTTGATACAGCTGAAACTGGGTATAAAATTTGAATATGAGGGCAGATAATGGTATGCATATCAATCTAAGGAATGAGACCACTGACAGTTGGATGGTGCAAATAGAGTAATAGTGACATGTCTTAAACTTGTGCAAGTCTGAAGTGTCAGTAGGTGCCAACTGTGAAATCAACCACCAGGAACAGTTTGGCAAACTGGCCCTGTACACATTTCCACTTTTGAGAAATGGCTTTATCAAGGTGTAATTGATGAACCATAAACTACATATATTCAAAATATATAGCTTAATAAGTTTGAGCACATGTACACAGCCATAAAACCAGTACCATTTTCAAAATAAAGAGCATCTCCGTCACTCCCAAAAGTTTCCTTGTGCTGCTTTATAATCTCTTCCCCCACCTCCTTTTTCCCTCCCCACCCAATAAGTGACCTCACCTGTTTTCTATAGCAGTGATTTATCACTATACTTGTTTTCATTTTATAGAGTTTTATATAAGTGGATCATACAGTATATACTTTTTTATCTACTGTGATGTAAGTATTTTGAGATTTGATCAGGTTGTAGTATGTATCAATAGTTTTTTCTTTTATTGTTGAATAATATTCCACTATATGGATGACTTTATGTTTGCTTTTCTGTTCTTTCTGATGTCTGATCCCCAACCAGTCTGTTTCTTATCTAAGCAATTATCATCTTCATCCTTAGAGGTTTAATTTCAACTTTTTTATATCTTCCATATCTCTACTTAACATTTTGAACATATGAAACATAGTTACTATTTTTTTTTGCAGGTAAAATTTTCCAATTTTTATTTTTTTCTTGAAGTTTTTTTAAAATTATAATTTTAACATCCTCTTCTGGACATCTAATCCTAACATCTATGCGCATGTTTATAATTTAATGAATTTTAGTATAATCACCTGTATGTGCAAGCATCACCATGATCTAATCCCAGACCTTTTTATCACTCCCAAAAAAATATCTGCACCCATAAGTAGTAATTCCTTATTCTCACATTTTCTCCTAGTCTCAGACAACCACTAATCTGTTTCCGTATCTATGGATTTGTCTGTTCTGCACATTTGGTATAAATGTAATCATACCATATGTGGTCTTTTGTGTCTAGCTTCTTTCACTTAGCATGATATTTTAAAACTTTGTACAAATTTTACCATACATCATTGCTTCATTCCTTTTTATGATAAATAATATTCCATTGTAGGAATATACTATATTTTGTCTATTTATTTGTCAGTTGGTGGACATTTGGATTGATTCCATTTTTGACGTTTGAATAATGCTGTTAGAAACATTTGTGTACAAGTTTTTGTGTGGACATATGTTTTCAATTTTCTTGGGCATATTCCTAGGAATAGAATAGTTGGGTATTGTAATTCTATTTAGTTTTTTGAGGAACTGCTAAACTGTTTTCCACAGTGGGCACACCATTTTTCTTTCCTATCAGCAATGTATAAAGGTTCCTATTTCTCTCTCCATATCATCATCAGTCATCATCAGCACTTGTTATAATCCATCTATTTTTGTTTAACATAACCATCCTAGTATGTATGAAATGGTATCTATTTTATGTTTAAGTTGCATTTCTCTAATGACTAATGATGTTGAGTATCTTTTTGTGTGTATGTTAGTTATTTGTGTATCTTTAGATAAATGTCTATTCAAATCTCCTGCCCTTTTTTTTCTTTTTTTGAAATGCTCTCTTGTTCTGTTGCCCAAGCTGGAGTGCAGTGATACAGCTCACTGAAGTTTTGATCTCCTGGGCTCAAGCAATCCTCCCACCTAAACTTCCTGAGTAGCTGGGACTACAGCCATGTGTCACCATTTCTGGCTTCTTTTTTTTTTTTTTTTTTTTTTTTTTTTTTTTTTTAGAAATGGGGTCTCCCTGTGTTGCCCAAGCTGGTTTCTTACTCCTGGGCTCAAGGGATCATCCCTTCTGGGCCTACAAAAGTGCTCGGACTACAGCATAAGCCACCATACCTGGCTGCTCATTTTTTCACTGGGTGAGTTGTAAATTATTTATATATTCTGGGTACCAACTTTTATCAGTTAGAGGATTTGCAAATATTTTCTCCAATTCTGTGGGTTATCTTTTCTCTTTCTTAATAGTATGCTTTGATGAAGTGAAATTTTGTTTTTTGTTTTAGTTCTTTGTGCTTTAAGTATCATATCTAAGAAACTTTTGCCTACTTCATGGTCACAAAGATTTATATCTATGTTTTCTTCTTAGACTTTTATAATTTTAACTCAGACAATTAGGAGTTTGATACATTTTGAGTTAATTTTTGTATGTGATGTGAGGTAGGGGTCTAACTTCGTCCTTCTGCATGAAAAAATTATTCTTTCCCCCATTGAATTAGCTTGGCATCCTTGTCAAAAATCAATTGACAATTGACCATAAATATATTGGTTTATTTCTGAACTCTCAATTCTATTTTCTTGATCTATATGCCTATCAATATATTATTACAATATCAATATTATATTGATAGTAATCAAGTAGTCTTGATTACTATAATTTTATAGTAAGTTTTGAAGTCAGGAAGTATGAGTGAACCAACTGTTTTCCTTCCCCCTGAAGATTACTGGGCTATTCTGAGTCTCTTACATTTCCATATGAATTTTAGGACCAGTTTGTCAAGTTCTATGTAAGAGCCAGCTGAGATTTTGTTAGAGGTTGCAACGACTCTTGATTAATTTGGTAAATATTATTATCTTAATAATATTGTCTTCTTATCTCTGAATGTGGGATGAATTTCCATTAATTAATTTAGGTTTTGACTTATTTCAAGTATATCATATAGTGTACAAATCTTGCACTTCTTTTGTTTAATTTATTCCTGAGTATTTTGTATTCTTCTGTAAATGGAATTGTTCTATTAGTTTCATTTTCTGATTATTCATTGCTAGTGTATAGAAATAGAATTGTTTTTTGTGTATTAAAAATTTTGGCGGGGGGGTTAATTATTTAGTGTGTGGATTAAATGGGATTTTCTACTTACAATGTCATCTTATCTACAAATATAGTTTTACTTCTTGCTTTAAAGCTGGATGCCTTTTGTTCCTTTTCCTTGTCTAATTTCCCTGTCTAGAAATTCCAGAATAATGTTAAATAGAAGTGGTAAAAACAGACATTCCAGTCTTGTTCCTGCTGTTTGTAGGAAAACTTTTAGTTTTCCTAATTCAGTATGCTAACTATGGATTTTCTGTAGATTCTCTTTATCACATTGAAGAAGTACCCTTCTAGTCCCAGTTTGCTTCGTGTGTATATTATGAAAGTGTGTTAGATTTTGTCAAATGTTTTGTCTGCATCTACTGAAATTATCATACTTTTTGTTCATTCTTCTATTAGTATGGTGTATTACATAGATTGACTTTCATATGTTACAATAACCTTGCATTCCTGGGATAAATCTTACTTCGTCATGGTGTATAATCCTTTTTATGTGTTGCTGGAATTGTTTTGCTAGTGTTTTGTTGAAGAACTTTACATCTATATTCTTAAGAAATATTGGTCTATAGTTTTATTTTTTTGTGATGTCTGTCTGGTTTTGGGAAATACTGGCTTCATAGGATGAGTTAGGCAGTACTCCTTTTTCTTCTATCTTGTGGAAGAGTTTTGGCAGGCTTGGTGCTAATTCTTTAAGCATTTGGTCCTGGGCTTTTCTTATGTGAAGTGTTTTGGTTACACATTTAATCTCTTTACTTGTGATAAATCTATTCAGTGTCTCCCTTCTCCCCAGGGTTTGTTGTTGCTGCTGTTTGTTGTTGTTTGTTTCTTTAGTGACTTTTCTGAGCTAACTGTGAAGTCTGTATTATTTGTCATACATGGCCCCTGAAGTCTCTGCTCACTTAGTTTAGTTGTCAGCTATGACTGAACAGTAATTTCTTTAATCTCTGGAACCAATAATTTTGGTTCCCTAGACTTCGCCAAAGTTCTGTGTTTCGGGGGGTTGGGAGTAGGGTGTGGCCTTCAACACTCATCAGGTAGATGACAACAGTTCCTTAATCCTAACTTTCTGTTTGTGTAGAGCCTTGAGGTCAGCTGGAGGAGAGGCTGCAGGCCCTCCTCAGATGCTTCCTGAGCTTGCAGACAGACCTGGACATGTGTACAATCTGATGCATGTTCACAGCCATCTAGATCTCATTAATACAATGGAGCTTTTCAAAGCTCTGATGAACATCTTATTCCCTAGTTTTTCCTTTTAAGCTTTTTTGGCTAGCCTGTTGTTGCTCCAACTGTTTTTCGGCATCCTGGAAACTGCAAAGTTAAACAATGGTTTTTCATTGAGCGCAACAAATGTCCCTAGATTTTTAGAACTGAGCAAGTCAGCTCAAACAAAGAGATTCTTGCAAGTGGGGTCTTCCAGAAAATCACTAAACAGTTCAAATCATGACAATTCTCTAAGAATGTGGATTTGAATGATGCCCAAACCTGTTCTGCTCCCCTCCAGTGGCTGCCAGAATTCTGGTTTCACCATAATTACAGGGCTGTTGATTTTAAAGGTTTCCATGGAGCTAGAAAGAAGAGGATGGACATAGAGGAAGTTAAACCATCACAGAACTTGCTCTTCTTACCAAGAGTAAGCCATGTTTATTGAATAAATGCCTTCTGGATTGCTGCAAGTCTTTGGTCAGTTTCCAGAGTTCTGATAAAACTGATCCGGCAAATTTTGCCCATTTTCTCACTGCCGTTATAGAAGAGAGAATTTTTAGATGTCCTTATTCTTCCATTTTCACAGATGTCACCCCTCTAGGGATGTTTTGATAGACAGGTTTTTTTCTTCATTATGAGTCTTATTTTCCAGGTTCTTTGCATGCCAATTAATTTTCTGTTGCATGTCAGCCATGAATTTTACCTTTTTGGTGACTAGATATTTTTTATTCCTATACATATATTTTGAGTTTTGTTCTGGGTTGC